AAAAAAAAAAGAAAAAAAAAGAGTCTCTTGTAGTTTGTTTCCCTCCCTCCTTTTTTTCTTCATTATATTTTTACATAATTGAAATGTACATATTTTAATAAATTTTTATTTATTTTTTGAAGATTTTATTTCAGAGAGCGCATGTGCATGAGCAGGGGGAGGGGCAGAATGAGAAGGAGAGAGAATCTCAAGCAGACTCATCAGCACAGGGCTCGATCCCACAACCCTGAGATTATGACCTGAGCTGAAATCAAGAGTCGGATGCTTAACTGACTGAGCCACCCAGGCTCCCTGAAATGTACATATTTTTAAAACCATAAGACATCCTTGTGGAAATGTGGAGTTCTGAGAAACCTAGTCTGAAAGCCCATGAACTAGATGGCCTTCCGGTGGAATGTTCCCAGTGCACAGAGCGCTGGGGCAGCCGCCCTGAGAGGCAGGAGGGCAGAAAGAAGAGAGAGAGGAGTTGAAAAGGAGAATGGAAAGCAGAGGGCAGGTGCAACTGGGCTTGGAAGAGGGAAGCCAGTCTCCAAACCCACGGGGTGACAGAGCCTCTCTTTCGCCAGACTTCATTCTTTTTCAATTAGGCCCGACTTTTGGACTTCCATGTTTGTCTCCTTTTGTCCCATTTTAGCCAGAATTCCCCCAACCTCCATATCTGATCATCCTCAATATCTAATCGGGTTCTTCACCCCCCACTGTCCCGCAGGTGAAGTCTGATCTCCCCGACTGCCTTCAGCAGGAATCAGGTTAGGTTGGTTTAGCCAGAATCCCCCCTTACCTTCCCTGCTTCCTCGTAATAATTTTCCATCCACTGACCCCATACTGCTCCTGGGCTATAGATTCCCACTTTCTGTGTTGTGTTCGGAGCGGAGTCTGGTCTCTCGCCGCCACTGCAAGACCCCCATGCCAACTCTCCTTCTTTTTTTTAAAGATTTTTTTTATTTATTTATTTGACAGAGAGAGACATAGTGAGAGCAGGAAAACAAGCAGGGGGAGTGGGAGAGGGGGAAGCAGGCTTCCCGCTGAGCAGGGAGCCTGATGTGGGGCTCGATCCCAGGACCCTGGGATCATGACCTGAGCTGAAGGCAGACGCTTAACGACTGAGCCACCCAGGCGCCCCCCAACTCTCCTTCTGCCGCTCCCCCTGCTTGTGCGCTCGCTCGCGCCTGCCCGCGCTCTCTCTGTCAAATCTTTATTTATTTGAGAGAGAGACAGACAGAAATAGTGACAAAGAGCATGAGTGGGGAGGAGAGGGAGAAGCAGGCTCCCCACTGAGCAGGGAGCCTGACGTGGGGCTCGATCCCAGGATTCTGGGATCAGGGCTTGAGCCGAAGGCAGACGCTTAACCGACTGAGCCACCCAGGCGCCCCTAATAAATAAATAAAATCTTAAAAAAAAAAAAAAAAAAAGACAGGCTGATTTGGATGTCCCTTATTGCAGACAACTGCCTATAAACAGATAGCTCTCCAAATCCAGATATTCCATTTTACCCTGACCTGTGGGAGCAAAGTCTGTGTAAAAATGCAGCCCCTAAGGAGAACCCTCCATTCCCATGAATTACAGGCATGTGGCTTGAGAACCAAGTAGAGAGGTAGATGCTTCTGGAGGCTTCTTTCAGATCAAAGATTCTATAATCCCGAGGATTCAAAGGAACATAACTTTCTTTCCAAATTTGACCTGTCCTTCAAAGTGGGGTCCAAAGGCCACATCTTCCTGTGAGGATCCCAGATACACCCCAGGCAAAAGAGACTGTTCTCCCCTCTGCAGACTCATAACACTTTGTCCCTTTAAAAAAAATGCATCTGAACCTTTCCTCAGTGGCACTAACCACTTTCTTTGCTGAAGAACTGTTTTCTTCCCCAGTACAGGAGCTCCTGGAGGTGGAGTGCGCATCAGTTCACAGCTCCTGGCAGGGGTGGGTCTTGCTTCATGAAATGTTTGGCAAGTGGACATATGAACAGGCAGCTTGGTAGAAATGAGAACGAGCAAATCATCACGTAAAAAAACAGCCTTGCTAGAAATTTAGGTACAACTGTTAAATTATTAAATGCAATTTAAAGATTTTTAGCCCAAACCCAGAGTGGGTCACCTTGTGGAGGCACGTGCTGTTATGGGCTGAATTGTGCCCCTCCAAAATTCATATCTTGAATCCTAACTCCTAGTATATCAGAAGTGACCTTATTTGGAAGTAGGGTTGTAGCAGATGTAATTAGATAAGACGAGGTCTTTAAGGTGGGCCCTAACTGAATATGACTGATGTCCTTTTAAGAAAGGGGAAATGAGGACATAGACAAACACACAGGGAGAACGCCATGTGAAGACGAAGACAGAGATCGGGGGGCAGGGGGATGCTTCTATAAGTCAGGGAATGCCGAAGATTGCCAGTAAAAGCACGAGCAGTGAGGGCAGAGACATGAAACAGACCCTGCTCACAAGCCCTCACAAGGAACCAACCCTGTCAACACTCTGATCTCACAGTTCCAGCCTCCAGAACCATGAGACAATGCATTTCTGTCGTTAGAGCCACCCAGTTTGAGGTACTTGGTTTTGACAGCCCTAGCCAACTTACGCACATGTCTACCTGTATGTCACTGGTGGGACCGGGGACCTGGTTGAGCTTTCTGGAGAACAACCCTGCAACGCACAGCCAACTGTTCACTCTCCCAGACCCCGTGTTCACTTCTGGAAATAACACTAAAGTTTGTTTTTTTAAATTATTTTGTGGAATATTATCCAGCAGGAAAAAGGAACAAAATGTTGATACATGGAACAACCAGGATGAATCTCCAGGGGAATCACGTGGAGCGAAAAAAGCTAGTCCTAAAAGGTTTACATACAATTTGATTCCATTTATATGACACTTCTGAAATGACAGATTAGTGGTACCACGGGTTAGGGGGGCATGGGAAGAAGGTAGGTGTCGTTACCAAAAGGCAACAAGTGGGATCTTTGTGGTCACAGAGTTCTTCCTTATCTTGGCTGTGATGGATACAGGAACTTACACATACGATAAAGTGACATAGACCGAAACACACACACACACACACACACACACACACGTGCGCATGTGCACATGAATACAAGTAAAACTGGGGAAATTTGAATCAGATTGGTGGGTCGTATCAATGTCAATATCCTGGTTATATTGTACTATAGTTTTGCAAGATGCTACCATTGAGAGAACTGGGCAAAGAGTACATGGAATTTGCCCTGTTATTT